TTTTTTTTTTTTTTTTTTTTTTTTCTAGCTCTGGCGCCGCATTATTAAAATTGACGGACGGCATTGCGCTCTTCTGCGCTGCTGCGGCTCGCCGTCGGCCTGGGCAGTGTTTGTTGCTTTTGGCTCGCCCGCTCCCGTTGGGCGCTTTGAGCGGCTTCGCCTCGATCTTGACAGGCTGAATGCTCTCCTGCCTTGGATCCAAGTCCAGCTCGCCCTCGCCCTCGCCCTTGGCCTCGTCCCCGCCTTTGACCACCGGCTACTCTCCTCCTCGTCTGGCCCTACTCGCCGTCGTCTATCCTCCGCCCACCACCACCCATCCTCTCCTCGACATCCTTGCCATCCTTCCCTCGTGTCGTCCACATCCCCTCGCCCCTCACCCGCCATTCGCATCTACATCCGCAACCCCACCTCTTCACCTCGCGCGAGCGGTCAGTCTTCTTGGTAGCTCGTCTCAACTGCCACAGGCTTCGTGCACCATCCAGCAGCGCTTCATCTTCGAGCCACTCGCATCGAACAGCTGCTAGCCTTGCTCCATCTCACCACTCGTCCTCGCCTTCTATTTCGAGGTCCCTCCGACCGCGTGAGCGTGTTCGATCTCCCGACACCCCTCTGTTTCCTTTCTCTTGACCGCATTGCCGGCCAGAGCTTCCGAAAGCGACAGACGAGTCCTCCATATCCCCGCCTTGCATTCCTCCTTCCGAACCTCATCCATACCCGGGAAAGCAGTCTCTCCGTTCTTCTCACGACCTCCTCACCCTTCAGCCCAGCCAAATCCGCTGACACCTCCGAATTCGACCCTCCAGCATCTCGGTCGTGCTCCGTCAACCCCAGTCGTCCGCCTTAATCTGATCCCCGCCCCTGTTCCATCCCCGGTCATACCAATCGAAAAGCATCTCGATACCTTTTCTGCCTCCACGCGGCAGCCTTCAGCATCCCATACTCACGCCAATCAGCTTTAGAGCCACGATCGTACCTTGACGCCAACCTTGCTCGGCAAAGGTCACCCCCCCTTCGATCAGTCCACCCGCCATCTGCATTCATTCGACCTGCCCCGTCGCAGCTGCCCCCGCGCCCGAATCTTGGCCTCGACCCACATTGTCGTGCCTTTGCAGTCTCTCGCACATCGACAGACGATAGCATCTTGCCGCGGCCCTGCATCATCACCTGCCCTTCGGACCGCCTGATGCGCCTTTCCTAGCGCACATTTCCCACCCCTTCATCCAAGCCCTCAGTCTTTGTTAAAGGCTGCTGGCTTCCCCTGACCTCTCTCACACAAGATGGCCCAACCCGCTGTCAGAGTAAGTGTTTCCTAGCTGCCGTTTCTCCCTTCGGCATCTCCAGACACTTCCTGGATCGTTGACTTACCTCTTGACCACCATCCTTCCCATTGCTCCTGCTTTCTTGTCTCCTTTTGCCAATTAGCAGCCCACGGCGACGCGGTCCCGCATTGCCCGTCCCGGCGGCATTCCTGCGTCTCGTAGCGGCGACCGCATACATCTCTCTGAAGCTTCGTCTAGCCACCTGGCAAAAGCCAAGAGCGTCGCCGCCGCCGGCAAGCTTCGGTCCGACTCTAGAGGCGTCCCGCAACGTGCTGCTCTCTCCGATGTCAGCAACCGGGTCGGAGCGGCCAGGGTCCCGGCTGAGGGCGTGGCCAAGCCAGGGCAACATGGCCTCCGTTCTCACAACACCAAGAGCATGACTCGCCTTCGGGATGCTCGTTCTCGAACCAGCACAGAAGAAAGACTGCGAGGTCCCATCCGATCCATCTCCGAGCAGAGAGATCTTGTCAGCGGAGGCGTCCAGTCTATGGACGTTGAAGCGCCCCAACTCCTGCCACCGTTCCGCGGCTCGACCTCCGGTCAAGCGTCAAATGCGGCGCAGCAGGCCTCGTACCACGCCGACGAGGATGCAGAACTAGAAGACGCGGCTGCTCACCACGATGAGGTGGACGAGGAGGAGCTGTCGGACGTCGAGTCGACGTCGAGCAGCGACGACGACACGGGCGACGACATGGGAGCAGAGCAGGCGAGCTGGATGGCATCGGAGCGACTCGATGCCGGCGGCCGTCCGGAAAGCGTCACGTCCGCCGAAGACGGCGATCTGCTCGACTTCAACATCGACCCCGAGGGCCTCGTCTCGCTGCATCCCGAGCTCGAGGAGGCAGCGCGTCGCAAAGTGGCGCTCATCAAATCACGCTACCAGGAGGAAGTGATCCAGCCCCGGGCGGCTCGAGCTCAGGCGCAACGCGTCGAAGCCGTCGCAGCGGGCCAGCTGTCTGCGGACTTGGCGGCTCACGAGGACGAGCTGATCATCATGGGTCTCGATCCGGACGAGGTGCGCGACACCAGCATGGTCGCCGAGTACTCGACCGAGATCTTCAACTACATGGCGCGATGCGAGCGCGAGACGATGGCGAACCCCAACTACATGGACTTCCAGAGGGAGATCCACTGGCACATGCGCGCGACGCTCGTCGACTGGCTGTTGCAGGTGCACATGCGCTACCACATGCTGCCGGAGACGCTGTGGATCGCCATCAACGTGGTGGACCGCTTCCTGAGCGTGCGCGTGGTGAGCCTGGCCAAGCTGCAGCTCGTCGGCGTCACGGCCATGTTCATCGCCGCCAAGTACGAGGAGATCCTGGCGCCGAGCGTCAAGGAGTTTGTCTTTATGACCGAAAACGGCTACAAGCAGGAGGAAATCCTCAAGGGCGAGCGCATCATCCTGTCGACGCTCGACTTTAACATCTCGTCGTACTGTTCGCCGTACTCGTGGGTGCGCCGCATCTCCAAGGCGGACGACTACGACATCCGCACGCGCACGCTGTCCAAGTTCCTGATGGAGCTGGCGCTGCTCGACCATCGCTTCCTGCGTGCTCGGCCGAGCCTGATCGCGGCGGTGGGCATGTTCCTTTCCAAGAAGATGCTGGGCGGCGAGTGGGACGACGCATTCGTCTACTACTCGGACTTCACCGAGGAGCAGCTCGTGCCCGGCGCGAACCTGCTTCTGGAACGTCTGCTGGACCCCGGGTTTGAGGAGCAGTTTGTGTACCGCAAGTACGCCAACAAGAAGTTCCTCAAGGCGAGCGTGTTTGCTCGCGACTGGGCGTACCAGAACCACAGCGCGCTGCTTGCCGCCGCCGCCGCCGCCGCTGCTGCCGCACAGCATGGTCAGGTTCAATAGAGTCGAATCAAGCGCCTGGCTCTGTCGAGCCCTAGATCGCGCGCCGCAAGCGTCGACGACGCCCATTCCACGATACCGCAGCGACTCGGAATCACGCCGAGGTGGCAACCACATTCTTTTGCAGTCCCGTTCTTTCTCCAACTGCCCACCTCGGAGGCTTGTCGCTGCGGAATCGCGAGAGCGTCGTGCGAGGCAGCGTGCCGCGCCTCAAGCCATGCCTCCCTTCCGTCTTGCCAGGCTCTATTCGCCGATGTCAATCCCGAGTCCGACCTATTGGCTTATCCCATGTACGAGTAACCCCAGCATTTTTCCCCTTCCCAAGCCTGCACTCGCCATCCTATCAACATCCCCGACTCGCGCCCTCCGCCGCCGTCTGATGGTTGCGCGCAAGTCGACGTTTTGGCCGTGGAGCACGAGCGCGTTGAGCGCCGTCTGCTTGGCTTTGTATGTGATCACTTTTGACGATTCATGATTTTTCATTTGTTGCACAAGGTTCTGCGTGGTTGATCGTGCGTGTCTGGGTGCGTGGTGTTGGGGTCGTCGAGGGTGAAGCAACTCACGCTGAAGCGGGCGACAAGACGACGGCCAGCAGAGGCAAAAAGGGGGCCAACCCGGAATCGAACCGGGGA